AAATACGAACACTCACAATAACAGAAGAAGACTTGATCGTTCTATTAATAACCAAGATACAGGAGGAAAGTTACAGAAGGATAGAAGAATAGTAACTTAGAAGAAGGGGATGAGAATGCAGAGGATACACAATAGGGGACGAGAAATAGAAGACAACTCTGTCAATAACATAACATACCTAATTTCACCTAGCCTACTACTATTTATTATTTTTCCATTTGCCCAATTCTTTCCTCCCGTGCCCTTATCCCAGGGTCCCACACGTAATTTGCTAATTTTTCCAACGTGCCTATCATGAGATTATTTTCATGCAAAATAATACCCCCATCCTCAATAAGAACCTTGTCCTCAAGGTTCGAGTAGAGCAATATTGATAGAACAACGGTGATTATGTCAAGACTTGAATGTGGCTCAGGAGTTGCATCAACAAGATATGGGTCGACAAAACCTCTAGCAAACAGATCCCACGAGACTAATATTGTAAAGCTCAATGTCGGAATAGGTAACACCTTTGCGTTAACAATTGGATCAAATGGAGCAGCAGTTGGGATCCCACAAGCTAATTCTCAAATAATAGCATCGACTTCAGGCACATTTAGGGTGACAACACCTTGTTCCACCACATGTCCAGCCAAGACAGGCCATAATCTCTTCAAAGTCCCTTGGTAAGCATGATCTCGTATGATAATGGAAAACTTTCTTTGTTGCTGGATAGCAGGTGATCCTAAGAACATCTCAACAGATTTGCTGGCAGTTGGGTCATCTGTGGGAACTTGCATATTTTTAATCAAGGTCTGCCACCATATCGACTCAAAGATTCACGAGAAAAGCCAAGATGTGACGCTCTCTAAGTCAACTGTTGAAGTGCTCTCGGCATGCCAATCAGCAATAAATTGCAAAAGGTCATGCTTGCTTGATTGTTTGGTTCCTAGAATCAATTTAATGAGTCCCTCCGAACTCATATTTACCAGCTGAACATCCAAATGTTTAATGAACGTCACAAACCCTGCAAGAGCTTGCACCGGCTGCATAGCGATGGTGCAGGGAAGGTCATTTCCTCCTCTTGCAAACCAGTCATGAAGAGATGTACATATATAGAATTTCAGTTCTTCAAGCTCACTATCTATCTTAGGCTCACAATCTGCACACAAAATCATTTTCGTCCCATCATGCATTTTTCTCAAAATCCACACTAATGAGAAAGCCTTCGCTTTCGAGCCTCACATTGGGCCAGTGGTAACAAACGTGCTCAATAGTTTGCTGAATTATTCCTTGACCACGATGGTAACGAACAACAAGTGCAGCAACACGTCTTACTATTTTCTCTTCCACGTGTATTGAGCCCCTACCCAAAAGTTGTCTAAATATGTACTTGATGTTCATTCTAGCACCTCTACTTCCAATAGCATATGAGAGTGTCAAGTTTCCAAGGTCTACTGCAGTAGTATCACTTTGATGTCCATCAGTGTTGGAGATTATGTGCAGCACGTAAACAACTGCTTGACAACCAGTTGTAGTAACATAAGAGCTCAAGGGTAAAATGAATACAAGCCAGTGTCCGGGATTAATATCAAGGAAGTCATCAATATACGCTTGAAATGATGCATTCACATTAGCAGGAAGTAGTGCCAGCGCCGTGCTAGTGGCCTGGGAAAACTTAACAGCCATAGCAATCATCTCACTATAGACAATAGTTGGTGGTATGAAAGATGCCAATACAATGAGCAATTTGTTGTAAATCATGTCGTTGAACATCCCTCTCCAGTTGTCCAGCCAACTAAATTTGATATACATATATATCAATCAGATTAGTCAGAAATGAAATTGGAGAAAACTTACTAGTTGTAATGCCCGGTGTCCCACCACTTGTCTAAGTAAGTATTGTAATCATGGTAGAACCACCATATATTTTTAAGAACTTCCTGTAGATTGGGTTCACCATGAGCGCCTAAGCGTAGACGATGTTGCGTCCCATCAATTTCATCATCATGAATCATGGTGTTGTAATCTTGTGTTGCATGAAATTTTAGCAGCGTAATAGCATTGGCAGCGCAAAGTCACTATCCTTGATTCCCATATAGACTATATATAACATAAGCTGCCCATTATCAAACGAACTGCAAATGTTGACGACAAGTTCCTGGCGAAGCCACATAAATTTTGAATTAGCTCCATGAAAGACCTTAAAAGTTTTTGACAAACATGGACCATTGTGAATGTGAATATGTATGACATTTGTAAATGGATGTGTGATTTCAACAGGTCTCGCTATGTACTCCGGTACTACATACTCTTGGCTAGGAAAAGGTACCAAATAATTGGTTGTCGCACCAGTTAGAGAAACATAGTTCTTGTCAATGGTTCGTTTGAGAATTCCATCAAGATACACGGCATCAAATGACTCAACATCAAATTTAGCTTCACCTAACAGCTCCCAATCATACAACTTTGCAAATGAATAATTCCATATTTTTCTAATTGTTTCAAACAGTGTATGTACATGTGATGGAGAACTTAAAGGAATATGCATAAGAGGTGAACACCCTAAAGCAAGGATAAATTCCTGCCCTGTGTCAAGCCACCTGATCACATAACTAGAATTTGATAGTCCAATATCTCTTGCATCCGTAGCCCAACTACCAGAGTGTGGTACCAGTGAAAGTACTTGACGAGAAAACGCCAAGGTGTCTGCCAACGGGTAATTCATTCCAGAAATTAGCACGATCCTATTTGTAACCTTATACTCACTTGCAACAAAAGAAATCAGAAATGAAGTCATATGGATAATTTGACTAGGCAACTCGCATATACCGTTATGGGAATTGTCAATAAATTTTTTTGTTTTCCTCTGAGTTTCCAGCATCCAAATCATATTCATCATAGAGTACTCTGGTGCAGCAGTTATGTCCCATTTTCTCGAACACCTGGGTGGTGATCTTCACTGAATCTTCAATGTCCATGTCGATTCCCTTTCGGTAATGTCAGCAAGCACCTTGCAGGCATAGTTCCACGAATATTCCTCCTCACCAATGTTAATTTCCAGTGGTGTATCCACATCACCATTGCCACTCGTTGAAACTATTGAGGAAGTAAAATCAGTGGGGTTTGAAATATTACCAATCAGGGATTCTAACATCTCAGGAGGGACCTCAGAATTGTCAATAGAACGTAAGTTGCCATCATCCAAATCAGAAGAAATCTTCAATTCTGCGACCTCCTCTGATTTTGCATTATCTAAATGAGACTCCATTGCAGCAGGAAGGACTGCTGGTACAGATATAGGTCCGATGCTACTGGAGTCAAAACATGCCACACTTTCTACCGAACTTGCGAAGCTCCATTGTCGAAATCGCATAAGTAGTTTCTCCTTGAAATGGTTCCAATCGTAGAATTGTTTGTTGCGATGTAGCCAATCGAACCAAATGAGAGCATGGCCTTCAAGGTAGAAGTAAGGTAGAGGTAACCAATATTCTTCGGAGAAACCCAGTAAGGTAAAGTACTGCTCGGCCTGAGAAACCCAGCCATCTGGGTCGCCGCTGCTGAATTTATCTAAAACCACCACTGCAATTGGAGTTCAAATCGATGAAAGCACCAATGTAACAACCTCCAAATACGAACACTCACAATAACAAAAGAAGACTGATCATTCAATTAATAACCAAGATACAGGAGGGAAGTTACAGAAGGATAGAAGAACAATAACCTAGAAGAATGCAGAGGATACACAATAGCAGATGAGAAATAGAAGACAACTCTGTCAATAACATAGCATACCTAATTTCACCTAGCCTATTACTATTTATTATTTTTCCATTTGCCCAGTTCTTTCCTCCCGTGCCCTTATCCCAGGGTCCCACACGTAATTTGCTAATTTTTCCAACGTGCCTGTCATGAGATTATTTTCATTTATAACAGTTCTTCTGTATCTGATATTTGAATTACTCGAACTCGAGTGAGACTTACTTTTCAAGGATATAATTGTTCAAGTCATGCGATTTGAATTTATTTTACCATTGCTCGCTTTAGTTATTATTTAATTTATAGCTTTGTGTCAAATTAATCACCGCATTCTTAAAACCGCTTATAAATTTAACTGTTATCTAATTTTGAGGGTAAACACCTTTTTTTTTTTTTTTTGATTTCGGCTACTCCATCTGATTATACTTGTAATTGTACGTCTAAAGAGTTGCCGGAAAGTTAAAGAAAGCTAACAAACATCTACAAATTGAAGCAAAATACTTGAGAATAAACTGAAATAACAAGAAAACTAAAAAGAGGCAACCAAGGAGGCACAAAGAAGCTAAGGAAAACAATACAGTAGATCTATCTATAATAACATCCCGGTATAAAAGATATTCACTATAAAAGGCAAATTTTTCTAATATGGGTTTTCGAGGAACCCATTAACTTTTGCATACAACCTGTATTTATATAAAGAAATAACTAAATATTTATAAATATTTAACTGTAAACCCAATTATTATTGTCTATTAATTTAAAATTAAGTAGGAACTCATAAACTTCAAATCTTGAATTCGCCTATATAACGTAATGCAGAGAGGTTTGGCTGAACTTGTTACCGAGAACACTAAAAAAATCTTACCTTGCAATCTCCTTATGTTTTTCTTGGGCAACCTCGTTCTGAAGACTAATAACAATAGTTAATGAGTGTTTTAAAACAAAAGGGATGAGTACCATAGTTCATTAAATAGAATAGGTAATGGACTCCAAATACAATAATGAAAAGGATTTAGAATAGCTCAGATACAAGGAAAGAAGTTACTACTTGGACGTACTGTGGGGGAAAATGTCACGACCCAAATTCTCAACCTTAGGGATGTGATGGCGCCTAACACTACACTTGTTACGCAAGCCAATATTAGAAATTAATTATCCATTTCCCTTTGAATAATTATTAAAACACAATAAAACAATTTAAAAATAGCTAAATCTGATAGTTTCCATAAATAACTTCATGAATAAAATAATAAACGAATAAATAAACCAAGCCACAAATTAAATATATAACTCTAAGACTACCCTAGGATTTGGTGTCACAATTTACGAACTTCTAAGAATACTACATATAATGGGCTGAAAGAAATAATGCATCTGTTTTGAGTAAAATAAACAGTCTCTATAAAACTAAGAGAAGACTCCAGGAATTCTGCGGATGCTAGCAGATCTACCTCGTGTCTCCGAGTGATGAATGATAGCTACTAAAGTCTCTAATGCTGGACGGTACCTGGATCTGCACAAAAGAGTGCAGAGTGTAGTATCAGTACAACCGACCCCATGTACTGAGTAAGTGTCGAGCCTAGCCTCGACGAAGTAATGACGAGGCTATGGCAGGGAAATTATAATATAACCTGTAACAACATATAAATAATAAAGCAAGAAAGAAATTCTAAACTAAACAAAAAAAATAAACTAAAGCAAAATGAAATAACTCAGCCACCTCTTGCCAAGTCTCAGCTATAATCAAATTCTCACATAAGCTTCCACATTTCAAATTTCGCTTTCAAAGTAACTGTAGGTGTCAACTATGAAATAAACAGTAGAATAAAATAGAGAGATTTTCGTTCCTTGTATTTAAAAATCAATAAGTCATAAATATTCTCCCTTATCGCTCCTTGTTGTGGCGTGCAACCCGCTCCCACCTGTCCGCCCTTATTCCTCCTCCCTATATACAAATATTACCCTTATTTCTCCTGTTGTGGCATGCAACCCGATCCTACCTGTCCACCCTTATCAATCCTTGTTGCGGCGTGCAACCGGCTCCCACCAAACAATTGTATCACTTTTATTTATAAAGATTTCACAACTTTCAAATCAATGCTTTTCACAATATTTTTGCCTCAACAATTGTAAATAGTAAACCGTACCACTTATAACTTCATCATTTATCATTTCACAAATAAACCAACCATAATATATATATTAAAATATTGTCAACTAGCTCACCCTTTTATGTATCACAATGAAGCCAAAGGAACAACCAACACTTCCAAAATACTTGAAACAATACTTAACAATAATTTAATGAAACTAAGTAAGCATATAGACATCAGTGATCACAAAACAATTAAGCCAGGGATCAATTAAATTAGAAACAGGGAAGGGATCATGTTTAACAGATAATTTGATGATGCATAGATACTCGTCACCTCACCTATACACCACGCACTTGCAAATTCACATAGCAATTAGGTTGGGGATTCCTATTCCCTCAAGTCAAGGCTAAACCAAACACTTACCTCAAATTCGCAGGCCACTCACTGCTCAATTATAGCTTTTCCTTTTGAATTCACCTCCAATACACTCGAATCTAATCATAATTAACTTAATATCATTAATTAATGCTAAAGGAACTGACTTTCTGAAAAATTATGGTTTTCCTACGTTTTCTCAAAAAAAAGTTAAAAATCGACCTTGGGCTCGCTTGGTCCAAACTTGAGGTTCGGATCAAATTCCGTCTACCCATTCACCCCCGAGCCCGATTATGCAATTAGTTTCGAAATCTGACCCCAATTCGATGTCAAAATTTAATTTTTACAAAATTCTCTAATTCTACCCAAACTCCCAATTTTTGCCATGAAAATTCTTGATTTTTGATTGAAAAGTAATGAAAAACATTGGATAATTGAAAGAGAAGAGTTTAGAATTGTTTACCAACACTTTGGGGATGAGCCTGTGTGAAGAAAATCGCCTCTAGGTCTTTTTAGTTCGAAACTATGAAAAAATGGCTGCTTCCCGAGTTGGATTCTGTAAAAAAAAAATTGAAGAAAAAGCGTGGAGCACCAGTGCACTAGAAACTGTTATGACAGCAGATTTTTTCTTTTATGGTAGCAGATTTTTTTTACAAGTTAAAAACACCCCGAAGCCTACCCGAAACTCACCCGAGCCCTCGGGGCTCCAAATCAAACATGCATGCAAGTCTAAAAATATCGTACGGACTTGCTCGTGCGATCAAATTATGAAAATAACATCTAAAACAATGAATTTAACCTCAAAACTCATGATGTTTCTCAAGAACACTTACATTTCACTATTTCTCAACCAGACGTCCGAATCACATCAAATCAACTCCGATTCTCACCAAATTTCACAGATAAAACTTAAATATCATAACAAATTTGTATCGAGCTCCGGAACTAAAATACGGGCCCGATACCAATAATTTCAAACATTAATTCTTTTCTTTATTTCATTAATAATTTAGCAAAACAATTTCTTTCAAAAATTAATTTCTAAAGCTAGGGACCTCGAAAATCAATTCCGGATATACGCCCAAGTCCCATATTTTACTGCTGACCTCCCAGGATTGTCGAAATATGAATCCGGACCCGTTTACTCAAAATATTGACCAAAGTCGTTCAAAATCAACAATTTAACTCTAAAATCATTATTTCTTATGTTTTCACATAAAAGCTTTCCGATTTTACGCTCGTACTGCGCACGCAAATTGAGGTAATTAAAATTAATCTTTTTAAGGCTAATGAGCCCAGAATGGTGCCTTAAATCATAAGATGACCCTTTGGGTCACCATAGAAAATATTTTTTCCTTTCTATTTAAATAAGCAAAGGATTACTTTGCCAATTCTAGTTGGACTAGGGTGACTTTCATAGTATTTCCTTGTTTGAACTCCCTCATCTAGAAGATTTGGATTTCAATTATTTCCATGCTTGGACATTTTCGTGTCCCCGGGCTCCTTAACATCGGATTGTTTTGTCGTTGGTTTTGATATGTTTGGTTCTCCCAATTCGGTATACATCATTAAAGTTGAGTAGATGGGCATATCATTCCTTTTATAATGAAGATGGATTACATAAGTGAGGGTCATTCAGATTATTCAGGTGTAATAATCTTGTATTCTTCAAAAACAATACTGTATGGACAATGGCTATAACGGGAATTTGAGATACTAAGTATCAAGGAAAACTCCCGTCATACTTTCTTTTTCCTACTCCGAAGGTAGTACAAGGAAGTTTTTTCCAACTTAAAGTGACAATCGAAACATGATTATTTATTTATTAAATTCAGAGTCGCCACTTGGGATAATTTAAGGTGTCCCAAGTCACCGGTTCAAATACCGAATCGAGGAAAATATTGACTCTGTATTACAGTCTGCGAACACAGAAATTCGGGTAAGGAATTTTGTTAACCTGGGAGAAGGTGTTAGGCATTCCCGGGTTCCGTAGTTCTAGCACGGTCGCTCAACTGTTATAATTGGCCTATTATCTGATTTTAATACATGTTTTAAACTATGGTGCAATTTTAAACTATGGTGCAATTTTAAACTTTTGAGCCGCTTTTATTGAATTATTTTTAGGAGGATTTCAACGTTATTAAAAATATGTCTCGAACCACGTCACATAAATGCACCCGCGGTCCTCGACATATTTTATCTAACATTGTTGAGGTTTGGATTTAGGTCACATAAATGCACACCCGAGTTTAGGAAGGTAAATTATTAACTAGCGCGCCTAAAGCAAGCTACGCATTTGAATTATTTTCCTAATCTTTGAGATTGTTATAAGGCCAAACTTATGAACAAGATATTATTGGGGTAAGGGCTAGCTAACATAATCTATTACTTGGCCTAGATTCTTTAAAGTTCAAGACACACCTTATGGCCCATTCTTATTCCTTATCAAGAAAGAAACAACTTCAATTTTCATCTACCCAATTAAAAGCATTTATTCAAAAACCAAGACTACATACATCACAATCGAAATAAAAAAACTAATAAAAATAATTTAAATGAAAACTAAGACATGTTATTCAAACAATGAAGAATCACAAATCAACACGCGCACCAAGCTATTATAACACAACGAAATAAGAATTAAAATTGAGAAATGGACCTTTTATTGATGAACAAATCCGAAGATTGCAAATCAATCGGCTAAACAAAGCGACAACCCTTGAATTGCAACACCAAAATTAACAAACCCAAACCTCGAATCAAAAGCCACAAACGGAAAGCTCCTTTTCTTAATCTCACCAGAATATTTCTTTTTAAAACAATCTTTCCTCTTTCTTTTGAAAAAAAGTCTTTTCTTTACTCTTTTTCAACGTTATTTTCCTTCTCTTTCCTCTCAATTTCTTTGTTTTTCTTTTTTTAGTTTTGTTATCTCTTTTTCCAAAAATTCCTTCCCCTTTCTCTTTTCTTTTCGCTTTCAATTTCCCCCAGTGAAGACGTTTGGCAACAGCAAGAAGGACAACATGAAGGTCAAGGCAAAAGGTATTAAAAGACCAATTATGGGTATGTCTATCGGTTGACTTGAAATAACATGTGGAGTGGATTTTTTTAGAGTACCAAAGGCCACAACAAAAATTTCGTATAGTGATTGATTGAACGAAACAAGAAGAACGTTTAACAGAAATTGCAATTGCGTACTAAATCAAACAAATTGAGTAGAAGATGTACGGAGTTTTGAGGAAAGAGAAAAGGATTTCGATTGCATTTTGCTTCCGAAAGGGAGATGGCTGCTTTTGCTCTCTTTTTTCTTGTGTAGGGATTTTTCTTAGCTAGGTCTAGGAATTGAAAACTTGGGGTAGGGTTTTTATAATTGGGTATTTTATATGAAGGTGAGAGAGATGATGACCATTGGATTAGAAGGAAATAGATGGCTAGGATTAAATCTTGCACTTAAGTGGGCTAATGGGTTAGGAAGAATGGGCTAAGGGTAATTGGGTTGGACCATGTCTCTTTTCCTTCTTTTTTTTTGTGTTTCAATTTTGGGCTAAGAAGACTCCAAGAATTATTATTTAAAATCATAGCTAAATTCCCTTAATATAAGATAACTATACTACATGATGCAAAAATAAATTCTAATTAATTAAACTAAATTATATTAAAACATGAAACTATTACATATTTTTTGTATTTTTCAAGATTATATAAAGATGAAAATAAGGTACTATTTTTTTTACTTTATGAAAGGTACATAAAATAAAATATTTTTTTTGTAATTTTTATTTTCTTGTAATAAAATAAAGTAAAAGAGTAAAAATGAGTTGAAATAGCTATATTGGGCCTAAATTAAATATTTACGTGCTAAAATATGAAATTTTTTGGGGAGAGTCAAAAATCACATGTCTATAGTTGCCCCTCTTTGACTGGAAAGACGAAGTATTTTCAGACAAAGAACGACTAGACAGGTTTTTTGACTCGTCTCTTATTTATAGGGACCAAAAAACTAAGAGAAATAAGAATGTGACCGAGCCTTGGTCTCTGAGTTGCCTACATATCCTTGGCTATAAAGGAATCAGGCCACTTGTAGTTTAGAAGTGAGTGAGATGATAGAGTATGCCGAGGTGGAGAGCCGATCGAGGTGCCGTCGAGGTTCCGGTCTGCGGTCCCGTTATTATATCAAAATCAAAACATGAAAAAGACTAGCTAAGCCTGTCAACTACGAGTTACAAGATTCATATCTATAAGTCTTCTGAAGCTTGATCTTGAGTCTTGAATGGTTCTTCATGCAGACTTTGGATTTGAACCTTGATGCTTGCTAGTTGCAGGTGCTAGTTCGTTCTTCTTCAGCTTTTCAGACTAAAACGGGACATGCAGAGCTTGTGACCTCAGCCCTGTCTTGAGCAGCTCACATCTTTCATTAACTTCTGCATTTGGATTCACTTCTTGTCTTTCTTTTTTTTTTTTATTCTGGATTGTGACTTACTTCTGTTGATCATCTTGGACTGCTGACTTGCATTCTTGACGCGAGCTTCTTTTGTTGCTGACCTGAATTGCATTCTGAATTGAATTCCCCCTTTTTTCAGGTGGGCGCCTGATTGCTGAACTTGAACCGTCTTCTCTTGTTACTTGACACTGTTTTCCCTTGCACCTTGAACTATTTTCCCTTGAAACTTGAACTATCTTCCTTCGAAACTGCTTTCCCTTGAAACTTGAGTTGTCTTCCTTCAAAACTGTTTTCCCTTGAAACTTGAGTTATCTTCCCTTGTTCTCCAGGTGGGCGCCTGATTACAACAAAACAGACAAAACATAAGAAATTTTTTCTGCCCCAATTTGCACTAGGAAGATTTGTGAGTTGTTAGCAAAATTATAAACCACTTGTACTATTGATGCAATGATGAGAGTAAACTAAAGAATAGACTAGGAAAACTATAAACTAAGCTTGACTACAGTAAAAACTGATCCTATTCTCCAGGGGGGCCCCCCTGATTTCAGGAAAACTAAACATTGATAATCTTAAGAAAACTAAAAAAATGACCCCCTTTTTTCAAATTCAGGCTTCCCTTTTTTTAAAAAATATCCTAGGAGAAAATTCGTCAGACTAGGTTCTCTATCTTAGGAGAAAGATTCATCAGACTAAGACGTTAATCCTAGGAGAAAATTCATTAGACTAGGTCCTTTTCTTTTTTTTGTTTTTTTTGGTATCTTAGGAGAAAGATTCATCCGACTAAGACGTTTATCCTTGGAGAAAGTTCATCAGACTAGGTTTTCTATCTTAGGAGAAAAAATCATCAGACTAAGATCTTGATCCTAGGAGAAGATTCATCAGACTAGGTTTTCTATCTTAGGAGAAAAATTCATTAGACTAAGACATATATCCTAGGAGAAAGTTCATCAGACTAGGTCTTCTATCTTAGGAGAAAAATTCATCAGACTACGATTTTGATCCTAGGAGAAGGTTCATCAGACTAAGATTTCTATCCTAGGAGAAAGTTCATCAGACTAGGGTTTCGAATGGGAGGAAAATCCATCAGACTAGGACTTTTTATCCTAGGAGGAAAAATGTGAAGATAAATGGCAAGATTTTATGCACAATAGAAAGACAAATAAAGGCAAAGATTTGAGAAACTTCCCTTTGTCGGCTCATCTCGTCTTTCCTTTTTCTTCTCTTTTTTTTTGTTTGTTTTTTTTGAACCACTTTCCTTGCACTTCTTTGTTCCTGTTTCATACAAAGAAATATTTGTCAGTTTTGAAAATGGTGGTCCGTTTGTGGCCTTGAGTCTTGAGAAGTTTGGCTTTTGCTCGATCAGCTTGAGTCGGTTTTGAGAGACTTTTGCTTTGCATTGACCCTAATTGTTTCACACACAATACCATTTGTATTTATAGCTCAATCAACTTTATCCCAACCAGAGATCTTTTCTTAGGTGACCCTTTTCGATATCTTGAATAACTTCCTGCTTTGAGCAATTTGTCTGTCAGAGAGAATCACAAGTTATCTTTGTTTGCGCTAAGCAGGCCGACAAGAGTCTTTTGGGGGAGCCTTTGTATTAATCCTCAAGACATGTTGATATTAACAACTGAGTTTGTTGGCCAAATTTACTTTGTACAACTGAAAAGCTGGTAGCAGATTTTGAAATCTTTTCTTGCTTGTTTTGAGAAGGACTGACTCAGAGTGGAAGACACAAATGATGCAAAAAAACAAATACTAACAAGAAATGACCCTGTCTGAAGGACAGAAGGAAGAATTTTTTTTTTCAATAACTAGCCTTAATGATCATGACATGCATTTTGGACTCAAGGGCCTGATCTATCAAACTAATCCAATCTTCCCTTTTACCATTCTTATGATCTTTGAAGTCGGGCCTATCCGTGCCAATTTTGCATCAGCTTCATGACTTACTTTCGACTAGTGGTGCCCCAAGGGGTTTTCACCAACAAGTCTCTCTCATTTGTTTATCTCTGCTTACCGTCGCCTTACAGTGCCTGTTAGGGTTTTCACTAGTAAGACTCTCTCATTTTTCTCTTTTTTTTTCTTTTGCCTTCTTGTGAGAAACTCGACGGTGTTCTACATCATGTGACAACCATTTCTCATTGCATTCTTCTCTTGGCATTCTTGAAGGCATATCAGAAGGTCTTTATTTGGAAGGATTTTGGATAGGGTTGGAAAGAAAGGACGTCATGAAGGCTCAAAATAAACTCAAAGTAAAGGGGGTTATGGACTTACAACTCTTAGAATCGACTCTTTCAAAAGTGAAATAAAATTTGTGCCACATTTTCAGCTATTGTGGATTTTTTTGGGATTTTTTATTTGAATTCTTATTTGGTTGGACCGAACCGTGAGGCTGCCTACGTATCCTTATTTTCAAGGAATCAGGTCTAACGTAGTTCAAACATCTGACCTAAATTATTTTTCATCTTTCTTTCTGTTTTTCTTTTTTTTTTCCTTTTCTTTTTATCTTATTTTTTTTCTTATTTTTTTTTTGTTTGCCCCAGCTTTTATTTTTGAGGGCATGGACCTTTGACAATTCCTTTTTTTTTCTGAACTTTCTAAGAATTGCCCCAGTTTGTACTCTTGGGACATGGATTTTTTTTTACTCTAAACTTGATTCCAAAAGAGGGTAGTCAAAGAAAAATAACACGGGCTCAAAAGGGGTAGCAAATGATATAAAGTGTTTGGGTAGCAGAAAAAAGGCCTCCCAATCTCAAGAACATTAAACATGGTATCTTTTCACGATCACAGCATTAACGAACATGTCTGTCTTCTTGTTGTGTCGTGGTCACAAGACATTTTTTCATCCCTTAGTGACAAACTTTCCAACAAACTTCAATTGATTAAATATCCTCAAGCCCGATTTTCACAATGATTTGAAGGTAAATTTTACTCGACCTTAGTTCCAAAGTATTCCAACTCTTTATTCATCCTCAAAAGTGCCTTTTCCTCAGTTGTCCAACCCAAACTTAAATCAATTTTCTAAGATCTGGCAAAAAATTCCTCATGCATGTCATGTCATTAAGACCGGCGGGAAAGAAACTAATCATGGAACGACACAAAAGGACAAACTGTATATCATTAAGTAAACAACAAGACAAACAACCTAAAATCCGAGTTACAACCCTAAATAACCCGGCTAATGAAAATAGCAACAGAACAGAAAGACAAGACTCACACAAACAGAATAGCGGGATAGAAGGGTTTGACTCAATAAAACAAATAAAATCTGGATCACAACCCTGAAATAACCCAGATAAAAGAAAAAACATCAAAACAAACTACCAAGATTCCTTCCTAGTGAGGAGGGAATGACTTTTCAATTGCTAGGCTTGGTATTTAGCCACAAATTTGCTCATCAGAATTAGCAGAGCCTTCTCCAATTTCAACAT